CGGCATTGAGTCATGCCGGCCACATGACCACGGAGATGTCTTCGGACAGTGCTGGCTCTCCAGCTTTGAAACGGAGGTGAGCACCGCCCCCTAGAGTCGGGAATGACTAGTCGGGAATGTGTGAGGGGAACTTTTATATACATACATACATACATGTATGTGCGCGCAAAATGGAACCATGTGCCACTGAAGGCACAAGCTACACCAGCCCACTAATCTCACATCTTACATGCAGCAATGAGGGCCAATGAAGGAAATCCTCAGGCATATGTTGAAATGGCCACCTGACACTCTCCGCTCCGGACGTTATCGTTAACCTGCAACCATTTAGCAGATGTTTGATAAGCACAAGAGGCTCTGCTTTGACCTCTGTTTTACGGCAGGAGCAGCTGGGAAGGTCACGAGCGGCTAAAACAAAACCCCACTCCAGCGTGATGGTCTACAGTGCATCAGTGAACCTTCTGTTACTATTCATGCCAGTTCCACAGGCACCGTTTAACGTGAATCGGTTTCAGAAGCCTTCGGAGAAAATTCTTACAGACCTCCTGGAGAGAGACAGCAGCCTCCTTCTCCCTTCCTGAAGAGCTGAAGAGACTCCTTGGATGAGAAGCGAGACGCCTTCAAGGAAAAACAAAGGAAGTCCAGTTGAGGCAGGGCATAAAGTGAAACAGGACATAAGGGTGATACGAGATGTGAAATAAAGCAAGATAGAGAGAAGGAATAATCTTTAAGTCTCGTAGACAAGCGGGAAGGTTAAGTGTCAAGCCTCAAACTCACACCTTCTGCATGTTCAGTGAGAGTTCAGTCCACCACAAATACTTTCTTGGAAACTTTGCAAGTCAGCTGTGACCTCGATGTGCAAGAGAAGAAACAAGTTGTTTATCTGCTTCTTGCAGAGCGACAGTAGTTTATAGATTATTTGACCAATTAACGCAGAAACTGTACACTTCCGTGTTTGGCTACTTTTGAGGGACTTATACGAGCGTGATTCTCCATAAGAAGGTTGTTCAGATGTATCGATGTCTGCTCTGGCTGCCTTGCTCTGAACCTTGGTACCAAAATAAAGCTACTTCTTTTGTTCCTGAAGTCTGTGTCCAGAGGTGGGTTCCTACCAGTTCGCACCTATTCGGTAGAACCGGTTCGTCAAATCTACCGAACCGGTTAGAAGAGGTTCCACCAGTGGANGAACCGGTTCTACCGAATAGGTGCGAACTGGTAGGAACCCACCTCTGGAGTGAGCCCTGGATGACAGAGAATCTCCACAGGCATTCACTAAGCAAATTAAGTCAAAGACTACCAGTACTCTAGCATAATTTTGTTGTTGTTTTCTTTTTGTTTCATTCATTTAATAACCGGCTCTACACTTTTTGTCTCTGCAGCTGGATGCAGAAAAAAAAGAACCCTTACACCTGGTTTAGTAAGAAAGAGGTGGCCGAGAGGCAAGAGGCAGCCAAAATCGATTACGTTCCACCCCTGGATAAAAACGTTAAGCGGGTAACGAAGGAATTTTGCGAATGGGTGAATGCAATGGTAAATACAAATCACTCATTCGTGACCCGACAAATGCGCGCACAACAAAAGCGCGCCGACGAAACTGCAGCGAGAAAACCGCAACATCATAAATGCGCCCACAACAACGGGCCGACAAAACCATGCCCACAAAAGCGCGATTTCAGTTAAGGGTTAGGTTCAGGGTTAGGTTTAGGGATTTCAGTTAAGGTAAGGGTTAGGTTCAGGGTTAGGTGTAGGGTTAGGGTTAGTTTTAGGGTTAGGTTTAGAACTTGCGGTTATTACTTGTTTGTTGAAGGCGCGCTTTTGTCGGCGCGCTTCTGCGCTCATTCATCAGCACGATTTAGAATTCGCGGTTTACTTGCCGTGGTTTCGTCGGCGCGCTTTTGTCGAGCACGCATTTGTCGGTGAACCCAAATCACTGTAAGAGCCAGTTGAACGAGTACCGCAACCGAGCAGGCAATGTAAATCCAGCAAGCAAACTCACACCCCCTAGTTCGATACCTTTCTACGGGTAATCCTTGACTTACAACCATTCATTTAATCACATGGATTTTGGCAAACTCTTGGGGACAGTGGAGAAATGGGGGCAGAGGGGCTGGTGTGCTATGGTTCATCCGTCATGAACAGGAGTGATATTCACTTATCTTCCCTAATAATATAAGGGTAATGGTTCAAACATCTGTGCTAGTCGTTCCCAACTCTAGGGGGCAGTGCTCATCTCAAAGCCGAAGAGCCAACGCTGTCCAAAGATGTCTCCGTGGTCATGTGGCTGGCATGTCTCAATGCCAAAGGCGCATAGAACGCTGTTACCTTCCCACCAAAGGTGGTCCCTATTTTTCTACTTGCATTTTTTACATGCTTTCGAGCTGCTAGGTTGGGAGAAGCTGGGACAAGTAACGGGAGCTCACTTACGTGGTGCTAGGGATTCGAACCGCCAAACTTCCGACCTTCCTGATTGACAAGCTCAGCACCTTCGCCACTGAGCCACCGCATCCAGAGTAGTAACAAGCAAATGTTTTGAATGAAAGAAGGGTGGTTTCGAATAAAAATGCAAAATATCAGCCAGTCTCTACTGAAGGCCACAAGGAAGCACCTGGATGAATCTTCTGAAGGTTCTACCAATATAGGTAGTCCTTGAATTATGATTACATTTGAGCCCAATGTTTCTGTTGCTAAGTGAGACATTTGTTAAGTGAGTTTTGCCCCCCTTTACAATCTCTCTTGCCACAGTGGTTAAGCGAATCTGCCTCCACCCATCGAGTTTGCTTGTCAAATGGTCGCAAAAGGGGATCACATGACCCCAGGACACTGCAACCGTCATAAATAGGAATCAGTTGCCAAGCATCCAAATTTTGTCCATGGAGATGCTGAAACAATTGTAAATATGAAAAACAGCCATGACTCCCTTTTTTTCAGTGCACTGCAACTTCAAACAGTCATTAAACAAGCTGTTGTAAGTCGAGGACAACCTGTAACTATTACTGCAATGAAATATTATTAAATATTTGACTTTTGACCCCCTTCCCGAGGTCAGGGGGTCATGGATGGTCTCGGCAGTTCCTGCTGAATGTCACATTTTATCTTGGCTCTCCTTTGGTTATGCATGATGAAGCAGAAGTAGCCTTGGATTCTAATTCGGAAATCAGAATGCAGAACTATAAGCTCAACGCGAAAGTTGACATTGTTTTGAAATGTTTTGCAATGGGGTAAAAAAAAAAAAGAATAAAAAGAGGAAATAGGAAAGGATTTTTCTAAAGAAGCTTGATGATTCAGCATGGATGAAAGTCTGATTAGGATATTCTGGTCATGAATCATGGTTTACTCTTGAGAAAGTCACAATGGTTGGAAAGGAAAAAGAAGAGTGCCCTGAGCAATTACTGACCCATATATAAAAGCAGTGGGACGCGGTGGCTCAGTGGCTAAGACTCTGAGCTTGCTGATCAGAAAGGTCAGCAGTTCAGCGGTTCGAATCCCTAGTGCTGCGTAACGGAGCGAACCATTTACCTGTCCCAGCTTCTGCCAACCTAGCAGTTTGAAAGCATGTATTAGAAAATACATTTTCTATTAGAAAATAGAAAAATACTATTCCAGACAGATGGCGGTCCAGTCTCTTCTGGAAAGCCTCCAGGGATGAAGCTCCCACAACTTCTGAAGACAGCTTCTGTTCCACCAATTGTTTGTTCTCACTGTCAGGAAATTTCTCCTTATTTCCAAGTTGAATCTCTCCTTGATCAGTTTCCATCCATTCTTCCTTGTCTGGCCTTCAGGTGCTTTGCAAAATAGCTTGATCCCCTTCCTCCTCTCTGGAGAAGCCCCTCAAATATTGGAAGACTGCTATCCTGTCTCCCCTGGTCCTTCTCTTCACTAGACTAGNTGCAGTGCTGCATTTAACCACTGCCCCACCTTGGCTCTTAAATAAATAGATACAGCATGTGACACCAGACCATTCAAAAGACCCAACAACAGGTGAACCAATCAGCTGCTCAGAATTTAAATATAGCTCCAAACGAACAACCAATCACACGATCAACTGATCAGACTGACCCCCAAGACAATAGAGAATAGGACAAGACACTCCCACTGATGATGTTACCTAGTGTGGTAATGAAATGTTCAGAAACTTACATCCAAACAAGCTTGGGAAGCAAACCCCTGCCAAAATCTAAAACCTGAGCTGCGAGTAATTTCTACTATTTTGAGAATGACAGTGTCTGCTATAAAATACGTATCTTACCAGGCCATCACAGTTGCTCACGGCGACAGAAGCTCCTGGGGTATCCACCAGATCTCCAACGTAAGCGCAGTTGGTCCATAGGGATTCCTTTTTCCATAGTCTCTCCGTGATCCCCTCGCCTTGATCCTGGCGAGCCTCTTCCGTTTCGTTGTAGATCGATGGAGAATCTTCATACCATTCCACCACTGCGTCGGAAGCTATTAAGCGAGAATTAGGTCTCAGCCGGAGGTGAAATTCTTTCCCAAAAGCGGATACGTTGAAGTAGAGTTCCTTGGGTTGACTTGACAAAATATCCCTTACTAATCTTCTTGGGTGGCTTAAAGAAAGAATATTGGAAACGTAGCTTCCATCTGCGTTGCTGCGGACTGGGATGGTTAAGGCATGCGGTTTTAGGCTGTGCTTCGTTGTTTCTGTTTTAAAAAGAGAGAATTTATTTACACATTGATTCCTTGATTCCTTCCTTCCTTGATTCCTTCCTCGATTCCGTCTTCCCTCCCTCCCTCCCTCCCTGATTTCTTTTCAAAATTTGATTTTGTTTATCTCTGATCAGATTGCTGTCTCTGTTCTACTGAATTCACATTTAAATGTTTCCTTCCTTCCTTCTTTCCATCCCTCCTTCCCACCTTTCCACCTTCCTGATTTCTGTTCAAAATTTGATTTTATTTATCTCTGATCAGATTGCTGTCTCGGTTCTCTTCTACAGAATTAACATTTAAATGTTTCCTTCCTTCCTTCTTTCCATCCCTCCTTCCCACCTTTCCACCTTCCTGATTTCTGTTCAAAATTTGATTTTATTTNCTAGACCAGCCATGCCACACTGTATGGGATGGGGAAGGAGGAGGCTGGAATGCATTACTAGACAAAACACTGAACTTCTTCACGAGAACTAAGGTCATCTCCTAGGCCAGGGGTGTCAAACTGGATTTCTTCGAAGGCCAGATCAGCATTGTAGTTCTCCTCCGTGGCCCGGCTGGGGTGGGGGGAGAGGCAGGATGGATCACAGGAGAACCAGGTGCGGTCCTCCTGCAGCCTGTTTTCAGCCTGTGTGTGTCTCTCCTCTCTTATTCTTATTCTTTCTTATTCTCTCCCTCTTTCTCTTATTTTCTCCATGTGTGTCTCTCCTCTCTCTCTTTCTCTCTTATTATTTCTCTCTCTCTGTCTCTCCTCTCTCTTATTCTCACTCTCTCTCCTCTGTCTCTCTCTCCTCTCTCATATTCTTTCTCTCTGTTTCTCCCCTCTCTCTTATTCTCTCTGTGTCTCTCTTTCTCCTCTCTCTCTTATTCTTTTTCACACTCTTATTCTGTCTCTTTCTTTCTCTCTTATTCTCACTCTCTCTCTCTCCTCTCTCTCTGTGTCTCTCCTCTCTTATTCTCTCTCTCTCTGTGTCTCTCCTCTCTCTCTCATTCTCTCTCTGTGTGTCTCTCCCTTCTCTCTCTTATTCTCTCTGTCTCTCCTCTCTCTCTTATTCTCTCTCTGTGTATCTCAGGAGGTGCGGTCCTCCTGCAGCCTGTTTTCAGCCTGGATGGCCTCCCGCAACACTCTGCCGGCCAAAACAGGTCACGTGTGGGGGGCCCCATATCCCATTTTGGCTTCCAGAAGCATCACAGGCTGGTCCTTTGCTATTTCCAGGCTGGCCAGGTGGGCCAGATTTAAGCACCCCCAAGAGGCGAGATCCAGCCCGCAGGCATTGAGTTTGACACCCCTGTGAAAAGTGATGGAAGGAAGAGTCCCTGAGGAGGTTCCCAGTTAATCTAATTGGCCACCGTGACCAGTGACACTGGGGAGAAAGAGTAATTACTGGTTTTAATTATACTGAAACCATGGGAAACCAAATTCAGAGTTGGTTTTCCGCTAGGTGTGCCAATATGATTTACCCAATAAAGAAGTTCTTTGAGGAAGTGTTATCCTCTGAAGTCGGTAGCAATAGCAATAGCAGTTAGACTTATATACCGCTTCATAGGGCTTTCAGCCCTCTCTAAGCGGTTTACAGAGTCAGCATATCGCCCCCACANTCAACTCCCAGAATTCCCCAGCCAGCATTCGCTGGCTGGGGAATTCTGGGAGTTGAAGTCCGGACATCTTCAAGTTACCAAGGTTGAAAAACACTTGGCTAAAGGATTGAAGTGGGGGGGAGGGAGGCCTTGGCTTGGATTGCAAGGTGGCCTTGAGGCCTTTGGAAGGATCAGGGACTACGTATCCCAGAATTCCCACTCCGCAGAGCAACCGAGGTGGGTTGGTTCAAGAAGCACTTCTCCCAACCCATCTAGGAAACCTCCGTGCGGAGAAGGCTTCTCTAGCAAGAGCAAGTAGGCCCAAGCCAGTGTGGCAGTTGCTCCTCTCTATGGTTGCCACGGCTTTGCTATTGTCTCCTAGCAATGGGAACAAATGGTTGACTCGAGCATCCCGTTGCTAGGAGACAAGCATCCTTAGCTCTACCCTGTCCTTTTTAGCAGAAGCAGCTGGATCCCTTTGGCCAGCTGTCGCAAGAGCTGGCCCTAATGCCAGCCAACATGTGTCCTGCCCCTTGGTGAGCAAGTAAGAGTAAGCCAATTAAGTGTGCGGGGTGACAAGGAAGGGACGTCCATTTCAGGCAAGCATCGCAGGTGGGCAGTCAGCCTAGGACTTAATTTAGGAACTGCAGGACCTTGGAAGCTGGCTCAATCCCAGTTAAAGCTGTCTTCAAACAATGACCTAAATACATTAAAGGGCTTAAACGTGGTTTATTTGAATAAACCACAATTGGCTGGTACTAAAGCCTCTGCTATATCCAAACTAACTTGTTTCGACATTGCGACATAAGGCAAGAACAGAAATTGGACTCGGTCCAGGACGCTCACATTTTCCCAGTTTGAAACTATGGTTAAGTCTGAATTTCCATCATGTCTTTTGACTGCTAGCTGGTGTTCGTGGGTGTGATAATTAGACTTCTGCCTCTTTGTCCTACATAGTGTTGTTTTTTTACATTGTGTTTTAGTGGAGAGTGGAGAGCAAACCCACTCCCTTCCGGCACTGATGATGTTACCTAGTTGGGTAATTAAATGTCTGCAAGAAAATAACCAAGCTCAGAGAACCCCCACAAGGTCAGAAATTCTAACAAATTCAGTCAAGGATCATGCACTAGGATCCGTGATGGCGAACCGGTGGCATTCGTACCAGAGGTGGCACGCAGAGCGTTGTCTGTGGTCAGCCAGCGGCTCTCTTCTGGGTTCTGGTGCTCCAGCGGGCATGCTTCAGTTTCGGCACTCAGTGCCAAAAAGATTAGCCATCAATGCACGAGGTCAGGGGTCAGCAACCTTAAACACTCAAAGAGCCATTGGGACCCGGGAGCCACAAAACCCTTTTTTGACCTCTGAAATGAAGATAGCACTGCATATATTATTATTATTATTATTATTATTTTAACTTTATGCCATGTATAAAAAAAAACTATAGCATGTTGCTTTTATGAAATCAATGAAGTACACAGAAAGCAAATTTTTATTTCTGCATGCAACGAAAACATTTTGAATGCCGGGAAAAAAACAAAGATGGGTCGAAAACTTAAATAAATTGCGTGGTATCTTCATTTCAG